AATCTCAAAACACATTCTGGAGAAAAGTATTTGGTCTCCCACCCAAACCAATTCTCTCTGCAGAAGAAAAGCAAAAGATCGACGCTGAAAAGCAGCGGAAGAAACAGGAGAAACGCGAGAGGCAAGAAGCTCGTCGTCGTGCACGCCAGTGGTACAGCAGTGAGGGAGGTGGAGGAGGCGGTGGCGAGGGAGCAGGAGGAGGTTGTGGTGGTGGAGAAGGCGGAGGAGGATGCGGTGGTGGAGGAGAAGGAGGCTGATAGTTCTATCCAAGATCAGCTAGCCAACGAACCAATTACGAGTTGGTAGAGAAGATTCAAGGGTTCACCATGTCCAATTCTATGCTCTTTCCCAATATTATCATCACATTCCCCGAAGTAAACCTACGAATACATGATTAGATGGACCCAAAATCGGTAAAATTTGAACCGCTTCTCAATCTCTATTTGATGCTAATTAAATCTCGGCGCAAAGCGATAGATTGGCTTTTGTAGAGTTCCACTGGTATCGTTCTGCCAGTCAATGCTCGCGAGCTCGTCCGTATAATCTCTGCTATACCTGTCCCAACACGTCGTGCAAGGGTGCTTTGGGTCACCAGGCGCCAAGGCACTCGTAGTCGAACCTAGCCTCTTCTTTCCAGATGTATAGCCTTTATTATAACCTACAAACATCAGGTTAGGATCGTCTGTGCAAAGGTCCGCATGAGAGCACATACATTGGTCGCAGCGGTACCCTGTGGGGTATATCAAAACCATTCCGTCTCGGAGGAGCGGATGTCCAGGTAACGGCCTCGAAGTTGGCTTTCCTTCCGTCGACGGATCCTCCAACCGGTGCCCACTCGCCTCAGACTGAGAACTAGACGGACCCTCTGATCGGGAGGGACAGATAGGTCGTTGATAGGTTTTATTTCTCGGATCCAACCAGTCTTTTTGCTTGAGCTCTTCACCGTAGTGGCGCCCAAAACTTTTCCAACAGGATTTACAGGGGTTGTAGGGGTCGGCGGGGCCAAAGTTGTATGTGTTGTTTTGAAAGTCGAATAGTGTATCAGAGGGTTTGAAGCCCCGGTTGAAGCCTGTGCAGTCGAGTGAGAAAGACCACCTATACCATTCGCCTAAAGGACTCACACTTGTCGCACTTGTACCCGATTGGGTATACCAGCACATTCCCACTCATCAACAATGGATGTCCAGGACATGGTGACACGGTCGGTTTACCATCATCCGGCGTCTCATATTCCACTCGAGAGTTATAGATGGGAGTCACGTTACGGTGATGGTCCCGAGGTAACAAGTTGGCGCTAATGTTTAGGTTGACGTGATCACCTGCACGAGATATGGGTCGTTGGTAGTTGGCGTCGGTAGGTATATCCAGCCAATTCATCTCTTCTAGCAGGCGCGTATATGGCTGCGCGTATTTTTCCCAACAACTCTTGCATGGGCTCTGCGGATCTCCAGGGGCGAATACGCTGGCCATAAAGGATAGGCCGAACACGAGGTGTGGTTTGAATCCTTTATTGAGGCCTGTCGTACATGATTAGCAAATCATTCTTGTTTTCCTCTTGGTGTCTTACATTTACGACACTGAAACCCTTTGGGGTAGACAAGCACCTTTCCATCCCTTAGTAGAGGGTGTCCAGGTGTAGGATCCGCCGTTGGTTTTCCATCATCGAATTGCTCCCTCGACGAGAACGCATCACGTGAACGACTCCCTTGGACCCGATGAAGGCGCTGGATTCAGTGTTAGATTTCGTACATCGTCTATTGTTGTAAGTGATGCTCACTGGTCCCGAATCCAAACTTAATTCACCGAGCACACCGTTTGCACGTAGGGTATATTCAGGAGGCTCCTCGTCCCACAAAAGCGACGAGTCTTCCATCGTAGATAATTTCCAGAGAGGTTTTGGAGCGGGAAACAAGGCGATTTACACGCTAGTCACTGATAGGCTCAAACTATATACTCCTGTGGGGAAATTTCGGTAGAAGAGATTTTCGAGGGGCGGTGCTCGCGGAGTTAAGGTACCAAGACTCATTTTCAGGATGTTGAGAATGTCGGGATACGACCTGGTATCTACGCGGTTTTCAATCGTGTCTCATTTACCGTACGGAATTTGTACCTGCGCCCATACTTAGTGCCATGTAAACATCAAATAGGAATACATACCGCCATATCTCCTCCGTAATAATTGTTGTTATGCCCGAAGGGGCCATTCAGTCGAGCGGATTTTGGTGCTCAAACGTTAGTCGGCTCATTAGGTACGCCCTATCCAATTTAAACGTGTGTGAAGTTGCACAGGACCATGCTTTGAAGGTAGTCCAAATGAAGTCGAGAAAGCGGTGGTACTTCTGTTATCAGAGGACGTTCAACATCGTGGACGGGAGGTGGAACAAGTTCCGGAATGACGACAGGTAATGAACGAGCGCCGTAACCAGTCGAAGAATGGAATCTTCCAAATAAACCAGCCTACGAGGCAGTATAACAGGAAGCGAGAGCACGCGGACGGTGCTCCTCCCCTTTGTGCCGCATTGCCTTGCCAAGTTCCGAAAATACTCGTCGTCTAGTTTTTGAACGCGAACAGTCTCAAACATGTGTCGTCCACGTCCTATTGTCGTGTCATGGCCCATCGGGATCTGAGTGGGGTGGTGAGGATGAATTGAAAAGACAAAGCAGTGTCCCGCCTAAGCTGTCGAGTGAGCGCTAGGTCAGTGCACCTCCGCCCGCAACCCGCCTTTGCTATAAAAGGCTCGAGGAAAAGTCGAACTTTCATCATCATCTCTTGGAATCTCCTACATCATGAGCGTACGTTCGAATTCTTCTTATCCGCTTGCATATTTTCTAATCCTTCCGCAACAGAGCTCATCCGTATTCAAGTTCTTTTCCTATATTCTCGACAAGAAGGACAAGAAAGAGAAGAAGAAGGCTCAAAAGCAAGCCAACAAAGCCGGAAGGCCTACCTACTCTTCCTCCTCCAATACTCGTCGTCGATTCGCCGACGTCGAGACACCAGAGATCTACGTAAATGGTGTTAATGTCGACTCGGACACCACCAACGCTGGAACGAGTCACTCCGTCCCTCGCACCCATGTAGATGGTCACACCAGCAGCCATCATCACACTTCCCCCTCTACCACCTATCATCATACGTCTCACTCCAACACCCATAGCCATGATCACGGTCACTCTAGCTACTCTGGAGGCTACAGCTATAGCAGCTCTTCCGGAGGTGATAGTGGCGGATCCAGCAGCAGCTCCGGCGGTGACAGCGGAGGCAGCAGCAGCTGGTAAAGGTGCCAATCTTTTGCGCAGTTATTTAATTGTGCTTAAAGTTTCGTGGACTTTCGGACTCTTAATGTAAAGCTATCCCTATTGTATTGGCTCGGATCATATAATGGTACCCTCTGGTATGCGGGCATTGTATTTATCCAGCTTGTCATAACTATAAATACCGTATTGTAAACCTATATTTGTGATGATGGCTCATGAAAGGTCAAAGAAGTCAATGAGTTGTAGAGCGAAGGTGGCAGTCAGACTTGACCGCGACCACATCAACGGGATCGGGCGGTCAGCCTTTGAAAATCTTTCTGGTGCAATCAACATACAGATCTCATTCCTTAATGATATGTGTACATCACGACGCGTGGATATCTCCTCCAGCACCGAGCCTCCATAAGGCTCAATTGTCAGAGCTTCACTGGAAATTCAGGCGGATGCCTCCTGAATAGTCTCGGAGGGACAACGATGATATGCTTCGAGAACGAAAATGGTGTTATACTCAAATGATGCGGTCTCGCCGTGATCTCGAAATTAGTCGGCGAATCGACCCACAAGATTGACTTCTTCCAGAAATGGTCGCATAATTCTGTCGAAGCTTTGCGATAATTGCCCCAAATCACATCTACCTTCATAAATATTGTTCTCCTGACGTTAGCGAAGCTATTCGGTAAATTCACCCGGCCACTAAATCTTGCCTATCTATTTGAACACTATCCTTTCAGCTTGGTCTTTATTATACATGGACTACTTGGATTTTTCTTGTATGTCTGTCATGTAACAGACCTATAGCGAAACGACCGAGGTCATGCCAAATCGATATACACCCAAGTTTGGATATAACCACTAACGCATTGCCTTGCCATGTTCCGAACATGCTTGTCGAGGAGTTCGAACATGAACCGCCTCGAAAACGCGGCATCCACGCTCCATTGTCGTGTCGTGATCCATCGGGATCTGAATGGGTGGTGAGAGTGAATCCGAAGGACAAAGCAGTATCCCGCCTAAGCTGTCGAGTGAGCGCTAGGCCATGCCAGTGCCTCTCCGCCCCCCGACCCACTTTTGCTATAAAAAGGTCGAGGGCGAGTCGAACTCTTTTCATCATCACCTAGAATCCCTACAACATCATGAGCGTATGTTCAAGTTCTTCTCATCCGCTTCCATATTTTCTAACCCCCTCCAAACAGAGCTCGACCTGGGCCAAGTTCTTCGCTTTCGTCCTAGACACAATGATCAAGAAAGAGAAGAAGACGGCCAAAAAGCAAGCCAAAAAGGCCGGAAGGTCGACCTACTACTCTTCCTCCAATATCCACCGTACACCCAGAGGCTCACTCACCAACGATGCAGACCTCTACACGCCCACCATATACATAAACGGCGTTTATATGGACCCAGATACTACCAATGCGGGAACCAGTCATTCCGTTTCTCACACTCATGTAGACGGTCACACCAGTAACCATCATCACATTACCCCCTTCACCTATCATCATACGTCCCACTCCAACACCCATAATCACGATTATGGCACTACATACCATTCAAGTTACTCTGGAGGCTACTCTGGTGGTAGCAGTTGGGGCGATAGCGGAAACAGCTATAGCAGTTCCTCGGGAGGCGACAGCGGCGGATCCAGCAGCTCCTCAGGTGGCAGCAGCAGTAGCAGCTCGTAACGTGCCATTCTTTTGAGCAATTATTTAATTT